ATATATATATATATATATATATAAAGATATTAATGTGCAATTTCAGAGAATTTATACGAATTATTTAAAAATTATAAGTAAAATAATGAATCTTGTTTGATGTGAATATTGAGGATAGGTAAGAAAAGAAAATGTATGATTATTTTTGGTAAAAAAAAATTAAGGTGAGATTAATAAATAAATAAGTCATGAACTCCTTGTAAAACAATCCATTAATTTAAAATATATATTTGATTCCATTAGTTGAGCAGAAAAAAAGGCGTCTAATAAGGATAATTTATTTATTATTATTAATTATAGGAAAAACATATATTCTCTTTATCCGAATAAGTTTAGCGTGTCTTTCGGATATTTTTAATTATTTAATTCACTGTCTCCTATCCTAATTATCATTTAATAATTGTTCTACACTTTCTAGTGTTTTACTACTCTTTAGGGAACATTGTGAGCCTTTTTTTATTAAAAAAAATAATAATTGTCTTGTGATTTTCTCAATGAATTAAATTAGTAGTTTTCCTTAAACCTAATTTATTATTAACACCAAATATTAAGAGATGCATTTACTCTTAAAAATGGGTGATGATGTTTAGCACTTTTGCCAAAAAGAATATTTTATAATCCGTTCCCCTTAAAGTATTTTTTTTCACTAATTCACAACATTAAATATATGCTTCTTTCTTTTCAAATTAATTATATTATTGAGGTGTTTATTGCTTTTTAAATTAACTTAATTGTTTAACTTTTAAGATTACTTTTAGAACGTTTTTTTAATTTTGACCATTCATTAGTTAGTATTGAAATTAGTTATTAATTAGATTTTAATCATAAATTTGATAATAATTAATAAGGATACAATGTTATGCTTAATTTATGTCTTATTTTTTCTTAGAAGGTGTGAAATATCTTTATTATTTAATTAATTTGAAACGGAGAAAGTATTGTTTTTCTGTTGTGATGTGAAGAACTGACTAGAAGTTAGTTAGGCTGTTAAGTGACATTAAGGGTGGATTAGTCATTATGTGAGTTAGTTAAATGGAAGTTAATTACTAATTAAGGAGGAAAAGCTATATATATCACCTCTATTCTTTGTACTGAGCAGATTTTTGATATCCATCAATATCATCAATGAAGATCATTTTTCTTGGATCTTCTTCTTTCTCTCAATACCGAGTTTATTAATTTGCGTTCAAGTTTATATATCACAAATATAATAAATTACAGTTGAAAATAAATGAATAAATTATCATTCAGGCTGAGACACAAATATCTCATCATCTTTAAGGAGATTCAAATTCGCCGTGACATGATGTACAATGATCCAATATTATATCTCTTGATTTGTCCCTCTAGAATACAACAATTTAACAATGTCGTACAACGCAGGCAACTTTGAATTAGTTGAAGGATTCAAAACTCTACAAAAAAAAACACGTACCTTTAACATAAAGTTACTCGTATGTATTGTGAGTTAGTCGAAGACTTAGAATATTTTTCTTCGCTCAACTCTCTCCCTCATTACACATTACAAATTTTTTGAGGAAATTTGATAAATAACAAAGAGATTAAGCTTAATAAGTCTGCTTGACTACAATTTACTTAATTACGCTCTATAACTATATTTTTGTTTGCTATGGATATTTTGTTTGCATAATTCGCTTGTCAATATACAAACATAGTAAATATATATTATATATCTATACATGAATGATTTTTTCAGAAATTTAACAAATTAAATGTGTCGACATGATAATTATATATAAGTTAGGGTAAGCATGTTTAAATTCTAGATCTATACAATTAGAAAAACTTTGGATTTATACAATGAGGAGCCGAAATATACAATTCTAGACGTGAACCACATAATTATGATTATAAGTTAGAGACGAGTAATAGTAACAAAACTCTAGCTATGTTAACTAATTAATTAACTAGTATATTTTTGCTTATCTGCGTAATTTTATCATTTTCCCATACTTCTCATCATTTTTACACGAAAAGGGTCAATATCTCCTTGTATTATTAAAAATAACTCAAATATACCCCTATCATTATATTTTCTATCTAAATATACCCCTATCATTATATTTTGATGCTAATTTGCTTTTATATTTATAAATCGAGGACACACGACATGCTCTAAATAAAAAAATTAAATCTTATATTCAAATTAATATACTCATTTTCACTTAAGTCCATTTTAGCATAATTAATTAAACCATTTAATCTTCTTACATTTAAACAATTAAATAAGATGAGTGGGCTCATATTGACCGCTCTAATTAGAATTAGATGATACGGGTAAACTCTTAAAGTTCCTTTGAGGAATTTGTTTCATTGTTATACTTGTTTGGTAGTTCAGGTTTCAATGTTACAGAATAAAATATTTTTTATCCTAAAAATTGAATGTATAACATGTGTTTGAATGTAAGTAATTATCACTTAATGCCAATAATTTGCAAAATCTCCAAAACCAATCAAATCTAAATGTACCAATGTGAAAAGAAAATATCTTTTATTTTTTTCACCAGTATTTACGCAAATACAGTTGTATACACTATATTGGGTCTGTATATACATTTTGTCTCATCATTTTCGAAAATTTGAAACTTTTGGTACAGTAATTCTGACCTTTTCCTTTATTTTTCTATATAATTAATAATTGTGAATTTTCTTGACCCTATATTAATAATATAATATAATATATATATATATATATATATCATATTGGTGAAGCATGAAACTGAGTGGCCCTACTTATGAACAAAAAAGTCTTCTTCTTTCTCCAACTTCATTCTTCTCTTCTTCAATTCCCTCTTTTTTCTCTCTCTTTTAAATTCAACTTTTTTCCAAGATTTCAAGTTTTTTGATACCCCTTTGGAGAATAGTTTCTGGGTTTCAAGTTCTTTTTGGTGAATTTGATTGAATTCGAGATCATCATCATATATGTGTTAAATGGGTTGCTTTAAGTGTAAGTCATAAAAGAAAATCTTTGTCACTTTATATTTCTTATTGTTTATCTACTTTGCTAATTGTATTGAAGAAAAAACTGGATGATTCATCTTTATTGATATGGGGTTTGTTAGTTATATACTAGTACTATCTTCAAATTCAGTGATTTCTTTGGAAAAAAATAATCTAAATAGCTTCATATTTAACATGGTGTTTATTGGTCATGTAATTTGAGAGATTTCTTGGAAAGATTTGATCTTTGTAACTTTAATTCCAATGATATATATGTGACAAGTGAGAATTGCACCTCCATCATCAATAGTGGTTTGAGGGTTCGAGTCACGCTTGAGGATAGGTGAGAACACTATTGGTCCTCCTGATGGAATGGGGTGGAAAAAATATGATAATTGTGTTGCAGATTGATTTTGAAGCCAATAATGGCTAAATCCTTAGTGAGAGTCATCATCTTGTAGTCTTCTTATTGCTTTTGATTTAATTATACTCGTTAAATCGAGTCAATTCTGCTGCCCTGGTAATAAACAGATAGACCTGTTTTTTTCTGTATTTTTTTTTCTTTGGTATCAAAATTTGTTGACTTGTTCAGTGATTATTTTACAGTTTCATAATTATAGCTATATGACTGATTCTCTTAATTATTGAGTTAAGTAGAAAAGTATTACTTTCTGATTTGAATAGTTTAAGTTGTTCAGAAAATTTTGTGGAGAGATAATCTTCTCTGGGTCATTGAAAAGTAAGAAGTTTGTTACTTTGTAAACTCAGCCTAAACATTCAGGACTATAAAACTAATTACCTTTGGTAGATTATTCTTAAAGAGGAACATGTTGATACTTGTTGATTTAGATAGTTTGGGATCTTTTATCTGAATGATTATTTGTTTAGTCATTTAAGGGGATGCTTCAATTTATATCTACAAGATGAAAGCGTCGTGGGTTAAGAGCAAAGTATATCTGCATTGCGTTTGACTAACTACTAAGCTACTGTTATGAACAGCCACCTCCTGCTGCTGCCATTTTTGAACAACCTTGTTTTCTGAAAGGTTTTTTCTTTTGTGCATTATTTTCATTAGATATAATTTGTTACGAAGAAATTCCATTCTTAGTTAGTACTATTTGATAAACCATTTCTTTATTAAAGGAGCTATGACATGAAATGCAAATTAGTATAGCCCAAACATTATTACACAGGGTTGTTTTAGACAATTACAATTTTGTAGAAGGCGGAATGAGTGATCCAGAAATGACATATCTTGATTTATCCAATCTATATTGCAATATTAGTCCTTCAATTGTATTACGTACATTGTTAAACCTGACTTTTTGATGCAAATGCTTAAAGATGAGTCCTATTTCTTGAGGGAAACAAGTATATTGCCTATAATGAATATGATAAGTTCTATCTTCATTCTTGTTTCATAAACATGGTACTCTTTTCACTTTATTATTTAGTTCGAAAGATTAGTATCACTGCATTACTCTGTTGTTTGAAGGAACCTTCTATTTTGTTTGTTACAGGACACTTTTTAATCAATTGAGTGGGTCAAATCTGCAGGTTAAAACATTCCTGGATCATATGTAATACATGTCACTACTCTGGTATTCTGACAAGATTGAGCGGAAACATGAGGAAACTAGAAAATGAGAATTCTATGCATATAGATGTTAGAAGTTCTGGTACGTTATGCAAGTTTTGTGGCAAAAAGCAAGATACAACAACTTGTTTGATCAGTCCGACTGCTTCATTGCATAGCAGTAACAGCTCTATGTCATGTTACAGTATGCTCTCCTTTCTTAATCACATAGTTTTGACTGTCATTTTCATTCTCTTCATCATCACCTCATGTTGGTTCCTTATTCTTTTATCATTCAGGTGACTTTTCATGTGAAGCAAGCTCAGATCGGAGGTTAGTTGTAATTTAGTTATGTTAAAATTTATTTATGTTGTTAAAATACCTGTCTTCTTTTACTTGGGAAATGAGGTAAGTCTGACACATGTCAATTTGGTTTTTATTTTGGTTTTAATCTGTTCAGGGTTAATATTGATGAATGTAGCACAGAGAGCAGTCAAGAGGACTCCTGTAGCAAAGTTGACGAGGATGACTATGATGAATCTGGAGTCTCTTGTAGTTATGAACTGGATCAGTTCTGGGTGCCCCCAGAACCAGAATGTTGTGATGATGATATGGAAGACAGTGTGGCTAATTGTGATGATGATGAGTGCGGCGATGGCTGGGGCAAGCCAACTTCTTTAATCAGCCTCGGAGATGAAGGTTCTGGGAGCTACAAGTTTAAAGAGGAAAAGAGGAAGGCATTGGAAGAAGTGATGAATGGGAAGCTTAAGGCCCTTGTTTATGACCTTATTAAGTCTTTTGGTGTTGCCTCATCTGGGGGTGACGATTGGGTTGATATAGTTACCTCTTTGTCTTGGGAGGCTGCTTCATTTGTTAAGCCTGATTCTGCTGAAGGAAAGGCCATGGATCCTAATAAATATGTGAAGATAAAATGTATACGATCTGGTTCTCCCAACCAAAGGTATAACAGAACGGCGACATGTCTCATCTCTTAATTGGTTTTCCTTTCTAGTTCAGTTTAAATCTTGGATTGTCAAAGTGGAAAACTATCTGTTTCCTAGTGTTTGATTGTTGTCCTCTATTTGTGAAGTTGGGGGTAGCAGTTGCCATTAGATATGCGCACTTGTCAATCCTCCTTATTCTTTGGTTTCCTCTGCCATACTTCCACTAATGTCTATGTTTGAAGATCTGCTTAACTTAGTTACTCATATCCTGAATATTACCTTTTTGGGTGTCCCAAAATGTAGTCATTCATTTAAAAAAGTGATAACAATTTTCATTCACTATTCTGTACTTTCTGAATGTTTTTTTAGGTTACATGTAACCATCCTTTTTCTTTTAAAATCTCAAGTTTCCTAGAAAGTAACCTTACCTCTAATTGTGGACTTACCTTTTAAATACAGTACAATTTACATTCTACTTCTTATCTGCATATTTGTTATCTAAGACTAAATTTAAGACAAAGGGGGAACCCAGGCTTACATTGTAATTTTCATTTTTTTTAGTCAATTTATCAAAGGCATGGTCTTCAAAAAGCATGCTGCCCATAAACATATGCCAACTAAGTTTGAAAAACCTAGGCTGCTGCTGATTGAGGGTGCACTAGGTCTCTCAAGTGAGTTGTCATCATTTGAGTCAATGCGACAGGTAAACAAGAAACTCTCTTTATATGTGAGATAAACAAAAAGGGAATATATTAGAGTATGTAATCATCTGTTCTTATCAATTCATAATGACAGGAGAAAGACAGTGTGGTGAAGTCTATCACTGACATTCTAGAGAGGTACCAGCCAAATGTGATATTGGTAGAGAAAACAGTTTCGCGTGACATACAAGAGTCTATTCTCAAGAAAGGATGGACACTGGTCTTTGATATGA